GTTGAAACGTAAGTTCGAGTGATACAACCGAATACGTGAGCAAACGTTGTTTATACAACAGCGCACTCAGCAGTACTCCCTACGCCGGATACTTCCTTCTTGGGCATAACCCGGTGGGATAGACGATACTACAAGGGAAGGTGACATTGCGTACGGCAGCCACATTGCCATCGCAGACTTGGATACGGCGCATCGCGGATTTGGGCGAACCGCACCGTAATACAACGCAGACCTGCGTACGGCAGTCACATTGCCATCGCAGATTTGGTGAACGGCGCATCGCAGATTTGGCGAACTGCACCGTAATACAACGCAGACCTGCGTACGGCAGCCACATTGCCATCGCAGACTTGGATACGGCGCATCGCGGATTTGGCGAACTGCACCGTAATACTCGTACAACGCGGACTTGCGTACGGCAGCCACATTGCCATCGCTGACTTGGATACGGCGCATCGCAGATTGGGCGAACCGCACCGTGATACATCGCAGAATTGGTGAACGGCGCATCGCAGATTGGGCGAACCGCACCGTGATACATCGCAGACTTGGAAACGGCGCATCGCGGACTGGGCGAACTGCACCGTAATACATCGCAGAATTGGTGAACGGCGCATCGCGGATTTGGCGAACTGCACCGTAATACATCGCAGAATTGGTGAACGGCGCATCGCGGATTTGACGAACTGCACCGTAATACATCGCAGACTTGGTGAACGGCGCATCGCAGATTTGACGAACAGCACCGTGATACATTGCAGAGTTGGAAACCAGCACAACAAACAGCGTAACATCACACTAATCTATCATTGCTTCGAAAATTCGAATATCGTATTTATCAAGACATTAGTAGTTATTTGTCATCAAGCGCATGTTTGGTTTAAATTTCAACATTGGTCGTTGCGTAACATAAGACATCGAAATGGATCTAACCGAAAACGAAGCTAAAACAAGGCGAACAACCATAAAGGCTGTGGCTACGCGACTTAAAACATATATAGAATCTTCACAAGCACAACGTGCTACGAAATTTGACTTGGTTGAACGTAAAAAAAACTAGCGACTTTATTTGTGCAATACGATGAAGTTCAAGCGCGAATCGAATGTTTAACCTCTGATACTAACGAAGCTATAGCGGCGACTCATCCAGAGGATCGTACACGATTCGAGGAAGCATACTTTCAGCTTATGTCAATATACGATCAGCGTATTAACTTGATTGAACAAACACGCGTAGCATCTCAGTCCAGTAGTGATACTCATACAGCACCTCAAAATAATTCAGAGTCAGCGCATATACGATTACCAAAAATTCAATTACCCATTTTTTCCGGATCATATGAAGAGTGGTATACATTTCATGATTCTTTTGAAAAACTTATTCATTCTAATGCAAATTTATCGTCTATTCAAAAATTCCACTACCTAAGATCATCATTGAAGGATAAAGCTGCGGAGGTTGTCCGATCCTTTGACATAACGACAGATAATTACACAGAAGCATGGCAATTGCTGAATGAGCGATTCGATAACAAGAGGCGTATAGTTCAAACTCACATTAAGGCAATATTTGAAATTCCACCTATAAACAAAGAAAATTGTACAGCGTTGCGTAGTTTAATCGATAATGTGCTTAAACATTTTAAGGCACTCAAGGCATTACAGAGACCCGTTGATACTTGGGATGATATAATGATACACTTAGTATTAACCAAACTCGATTCTGTTACAGTGAAGGAATGGGAAACAAGTCGCGCAGATTCGACTATACCTACATTCAAACAATTGACCGAATTCCTATCAAAACGTTGTCAAACTCTGGAAATCATTTCCGGCAAATCAAGTGGACGTACAATTTCGGATGTGCACAATTCACAGAAGGCCAAGAATCCTAGCGCGCACGTAACTACCTCAAATCTATCATGTATCCATTGCAAGAGTAAGCATTTTATATTCAGTGTGAATCATTTCGTAAACTCCCTGTTGAAAAACGTTTTGAGATCGTAAAAAATGCTCACTTTTGTATCAATTGTCTAAGGTCGGGAGGGCATCAAGCTAAAAACTGCACAGCTAGTACTTGTCGTAAATGTGGAAAGCCACATAACACACTATTGCATTTTGAAATCTCGAAAGATGAAGGGGTAAAAACAGACATGCCTTCGAACACTAGTAATTCTTCTTGCAGCGTAACAGGGGCATCTTTAACAAATACCGCGTCTCCCATAGTAACACAATGCACTCAGATTAATGATGCTTCCAAGGTTCTTCTCTCAACCGCCATAGTCAGCGTATATGATCGTAAGGGAGAGTTACATGGTTGCAGAGTTTTACTTGATAGTGGTTCTCAACTAAACTTCATTACTGAAGATTTCGCAAATCGATTGCATCTTAATAGTCGTGAATTACACATGTCTATTTCAGGTGTAGCAAAAGGAACAATTGAAACTAAAGGGATAGTTGACGTTAGTTTCCGATCACGAACAAACGCATATGTCGACAACATTGAATGTGTAATTCTGCCTAAGATTACCCAGAAGTTGCCGCAGGAATTTTGTTCAATATCAGAATTTACAATTCCATCGAATATAGTACTCGCAAATCCTAATTTCAATATCCCAAGCGAAATTGACATACTCATAGGAGCTCAATTATTCTGGAAGCTCATTTACGTAGGACAAATTAGGGCCTGCAAGGCGCATCCTACTCTACAAAAACTAAGCTAGGATGGGTGATTTCCGGCAAGACTGATGGATCTTCAGATAAGAAAATAGAGGCAGTGTGTCATCTTAGTGCAATCAATAGGCTAAACGAGGCTATTGTGAAGTTTTGGGAAGTTGAGCACGATACTTCTTCCAACAAAATGTCTCATTATAATCCCAATGAACAAATTTGTGAATCGCATTTTAATCAAAATGTTCGTCGTGACGCCGAAGGTCGTTTCATAGTCAAATTACCTACAATTGATGAAAAATTACAGCAATTAGGAGATTCAAGGGAAATCGCAAAACGTCGTTTTCTTAATTTAGAAAAGCGTTTATCAACGCAACCATTGATGTATTCACAGTATAAAGAGTTTGTTAGCGAATCTCGCTAGGAGAGTTCGCTGGTACCTCTGCGTGGTGGAAGCAGGGTGAGAGAACTCAGCGGTCAGAGGCTCAAGGAAAGATTGCACGCGTGAGAGGGTGGAATATCACGTGATCGTAACTCGGATCGTTTGAGTAAAATATCGTGTCACAGTTTAATAAGAGCAATATGCTTACAGTTGAGCAGTCTATGAACTAACGGTGGATGAAAAGTCTTAATTCACTTGCGCGGGTCGATATTATTGATCGGGAGCCGACCTCGTGAGTGTAGATGCCCGTGAGCCGTCCACGCGGCGCCGGCGTGCGCGATGCGTGGTGAGACTGAGCCGCCGGTGATGCTGTATCCTGAGCTGTCCGGGATGAGTCGCACTGATGTGAGATCACTACGTGTCCGCACTGAGTCTAATCTCTGTTGAGAAGGTCCACAAGAGAAGGTCCACTCGAAAGTCTTGAGCACTACACGACGCGTGTACTATGTACGGTAGCCATGAGCCAAAAGCGCCGGTAACGCACGTGAAGAAGCGCCGTCGCTTCGTCTCGCGATCGGGCATGCGCGCGCAGCGCTCATGCGGCGCTGCACGATCTGACCCGGCTGATGCTGCCATCACGCCGGTGACGAACTGACCGAGATTCAGAAATGAATCTCGAACAGAGTTCATGCAAGAATATGTTAATTTGAATCACATGCGTGAAATCGATGATCGCGACGCGAATAACGAAACGTCATATTATTTGCCGCACCATGCGGTTTTTAAGGAAAACAGCATCACAACCAAATTGAGAGTGGTGTTTGATGCATCGTGTAAAACGGCATCAGGACTGTCATTGAACGATGCACTTTTGGTTGGTCCCACTATACAGGAGGATTTGTTCTCTATTTTAGTACGATTTCGCACGTTTCGATACGCCATGACGGCTGACATTACTAAAATGTATAGACAGATTCTCATCGACCAGTCCCAGAGATCTTTGCAACGTATTTTTTGGCGTAACTCATCACAAGATGAACTAAAAACGTTTGAGCTTCTTACACTTACATATGGTACAGCGCCAGCCTCCTTCTTGGCTATTAGATCAATACACAAACTCGCGGAGTACCAAGCGGATTCATTTCCCATTGGATCGAAATTAGTATTACGTGATTTTTATGTGGATGACCTGCTTACAGGTGCATCTACGTTACAAGAAGCATTAGAGATCAAGAAACAAACTATTCAATTGCTAAGGAAAGGCGGATTTGAATTAACAAAGTGGTCGTCTAATCATTCTTCCATTCAAGACATTGAAGGTTCTACAAAAAAGGAATTTAATTTGGGCAACGAAACCAGAGCTCTTGGTGTAGTCTGTAATTGTGAATCAGATGTGTTCAAGTTCATAAGTATAGGACAACATCCACCACTGGATAGGCTTACCAAACGTAGCATATTGTCTAGGATAGCTTTAATGTTCGATCCTTTAGGATTATTGGGACCATCCATTATAATTGCTAAACTTCTGATGCAACAATTATGACGGGAGAAAATTGATTGGGACGAAACTATAACTGGTGAACTACATACACTTTGGAGAGAATATGAATTCAGGTTACAATTTCTTGGTGATATTCAGGTAGCACAAAAGGTGATTACTTTCAGTGAAAAACGAAAGGTGGAAATTCATGGTTTCTCAGACGCTAGTCAACAAGCATACGGAGCATGCATTTACGTTCGATCCACTTACACGAATGGGCAATCTGAGTGTCATTTGCTGTGTTCTAAGTCAAGAATCGCACCTCTTAAAACATTATCTATTCCTCGACTCGAGCTTTGGGGAGCCTTATTGCTGGCACAACTTACCAACAAGGTATTGAGTGCTTTACCTTTAACGATAGACTATATACAGTATTGGATCGATTCACGTATCGTATTGTGTTGGTTGCGATCATGCAGCCGTCAGTGGACACCATTTGTAGCGAATCGTGTAGCTGAAATACAGCGACTTACAAATATTGATAGTTGGAGACATGTGTCTAGTCAGGATAATGCTGCCGACCCGCTTTCCAGAGGTATCATGCCCAACTTATTATCCGAGCTAGATCTGTGGTGGCATACGCGTACGGGTGCCGCTATCGAATAGCCCCGGGGTATCCCCTGCCTGTCGTAAGAGGCGACTTAAAGGGGAAGAGTAGTAGGAGTGGTCTGGGACCCTTGGGGGTGGGCGCGGGCTGGGAACCCGCGACCCACCCACCCCCGATTAACAACTAGGGGGCGCAGTGGGGACCGGGTGGCACCCCTGCTGCGAAGGAGGAGGAACGTGCCCTGCAATCACAGGGCTGTGAGGTAAGCCCTTCTTAGGGCTAAGTTCTTCTCTTTAGAAGAGAGAGGTGCGCGCAAGTTCAAAGCGCGCGGCGCGGAGTTGTCTGGTGCGATGCTCTAGTGAGTCCCGGGCACCCCCCAGTTTGCGCCAAGAAGTCCACCCCCGGTGGTTTTAGTGAGGTAGGCGCCCCCATTGCAGGCTGGCCCCAGGTAGACAACTGTCCTGGGGTACAGGGGGGTGAGTCCCACACACCACCCCGCCTCTTTCCCAGAGAGCCGGGGTGACGGTCCATAAGGATTTCCACCGGGTTAAAAAAAAAAGATCTGTGGTGGCACGGTCCATTTTGGTTAAAATGTGATAATGATGAATGGCCTTCTGAGAATTTCCACACGTCGGATGTAGAGTTGCCGGAAATGAGATTAACAGCAATGGTAATTGAGATGGGCAATAAACCATCTCACGATATATTTAATCGATTCTCTAAGCTTTCTCGATTGATACGCGTTATCGCTTTCTGTCATAGATTCATAGCGAATTGTAAAATAAGAAAAACAATTTTACATTCACATAGGGAGAAAGAGGTTGATAAGGTTCAGCCCTTGTCTATGAAAATCACGT